GGGAGAATGAATTATTAATGACCCCCTGATATAATAATAAACAAAGTGGGCAAACAACAAAATCAATCCTAATATCAAATTCATTAAGAAATGTCCACTCAGAAAACTGTAAAGACAAATTGGCAGACATTAGGAACAGGAACACCCTCAGCAGCATGCTTTGCCAATAGAAGTAAGAAAACTAACTTAATTCCAGACAAATATGCAAAATGGTTATGGAAAAAAGGGAAAATAGTTTTCCAAAAATTGAGTAAGAGTAATCAAGTACTAATTGGAAGGAAGCGGCATTCCTTCTGATTTCGCACAAATCATTTTTCTGAATGAGATTGGTTTTCTTTATGGGTGGATGACTAAATGAGATATGTGACAACCCATGTGGAATTAAACCTTGTCTTGAGGAGGGACAAGAGTTTAGTTGAAAGTTAGTTATTACCAGTCCTTAATTAAACAATTCATTTGTTCTCCTTGTGTTGGAGTTTGGCTGCCTAATTCAGCTTTTCAAAAAATTTGTTCCCTAACTCGATACTGTGTGACATATGGAAGTCACATCAAGCGACAATAGAAGCAAATTTATCAACCGGGTTCATTTGGTTCATAGGAATAAAGGGTTGGAATTAGAATCAGAATGATCTAAGACTATGTTTGATTTGAAGGAAAAAAGGTAGGGGAAGGAAGGGAATGGTAGGGAAACTCATACAAGGTTTATAAAGGTTTTCCTACGTTTTCTTTCCTTTCTCTACTTTTTTTTTCCTTTAAACCAAACAGTGTAAATGTTTTGTTGGATGAAATTGGAATCTTATTTTTATTTCTGATCGAGTACTGGCATTCTCCCATTTTAGGGAATGGTCATTCTCTCCCTCTCCCTTGGGATTGAGAATTCCTTTTAACTGGTTTCAATTCTGATTCTGATTCCAATCTGAATCAAATAGGTAGGAGGAATAGACCATTCTATTCCAAACTAAGCAAACCCTTAGTGTGTCATAGATAGATTAATGGCTTAAAAGTATCTTATTCCTGAAATATAGACCAAAATGAAGCATAAAAGATCATTCAGTGCATGCTATTTTCAAAATCCTAATGTGTCTTTTAGCGGAGCTGAAGCCAGTGAAGCACCATGGCGTTGCATGTTAGTAATCTTCACAAATTTCGTGCTTACGAGAGTAAGGTCGGATAAGCACTTATTTGCATTTGGCATTCCACATTTTCGAGTGCTTATTTTTTAAAATAAGCACTTATTTTGTATTGGCCGTTTGGTAGTATTTTTCTCTAATAAGCACTTAAATAAGAATCTATAACTATTTTGTTCTTCATTTTCTTTCAAAATTTCAAAACATACCCTTTGAAAGTACTTTCATTAAATTACTTTTATAAAACACACTTTTATGAAAATACATTAATAAAAATTATTTTATGAAAATACTTTTATAAAAGTAAAATTCAACTAAGAATAATTTTAGAAGAAAAAAATTGAATAATTATTTATTATATAAACACTTAAGAAAAGCTAAAAATTTATTTATCCTAAATAAATCAATCTCTTGAGGGATAAAAAAAAGCCAATCTTTCAGTGCTAGCTTTCTTTCTCCTACTACGGTATCCTCTCGAGTCTTGACAATATTCTTGGACATTTATTTATTTATTATTTTAAGGGGGATTAAGCTAGCTGTCGTCTAAGATGTGTGGAATAGGCCATATAGACCTATGGACCTAGACATGTGGCCTACGGGGTGGTGTGCTAGCAACCCACGATCTGGTGGGCCAAGATCCACAAATCAGTAACCACAAGAATGCTTACAAATCAGATGACCATATAGTCACATCATCTAGTTGGACTTGGACCCATTCAATTTGTAGTGGGCCCCCAGTCCAACCCACGGCTGAAAGTACGAATATCGTATATAGTTCATTCGGCCTTCAGTATTATTATTATTATTATCTGCTGGACTATGTCCTCAAGAAATGATGGACTGATGGTAGAGATGGAACGTGGTTTCCCACATCAGCCACGTTGCAAGCGTTAAAAACAAACTCACATCTCTCCAAGCTAAATGACAAACATTCTCCATCACTCCACTCTCTCCAGAACCAACCACCTCCAACCCATGAATTAAACGCGATTACACTCTCGGTTAGAGAGAAATGCTACCGGATCAGCTTCCAACAAACTCGTTCCAACATCATCTCTACCCGCATGTCTCAGGCAAGGTGGGTTTCGGACATTGTTGGAACAGTTTATGTTGGGAGAAGATGCCAACTCGATCGTATTACCGCGTGTTGTACGGAATAAATAATATAATAGAGGTTTATTATTGGGGGGGGCTGATCAAGATCAACATCTCCATTTTCTTGATTATAGCAATGGACCGTATACGGAATCAGCATACGGCTGTCCGAGTCCGACACTCCCACGGATAGTCATGTTCTGTGGGGCCCATTTGCCCATCCCAAAGTAACCATGTCTGCCATCTGTCCCAAGCCCAACGCCCCTACGCCCTACCCTTGTTTAAATTTTGAAATGCTCGCTCCACAACCGCCTCCTCTCCTTCATAATAACGAAATTGCCCTTCCCTTTTGCCCTCTGCCCTCCCATCACTTGATTGACAAAACAACCCTCGATAAAATGTGACATTTACCTTTTAAGGAACTCAACACACTCAACACCACTGTCCTCTCCCCATTAAAGGATTAATGAGAGAGAGAGAGAGAATCTCTTTGCTGATACTTATTTTTTTCTGGCCACAAATTCGTACCAACTTGTGTATGACATGGGGAGTTCGTGAACTGTTTAATTTGTTCAATGTATTTGTTATCATCTAATTTGCTATGATTTGTATTGTATTAGGGTTGTGTTTGGCATGCTTTTAGATATTAATTCTGATTTTTTTTCTTTTAATTTTTGAGTGTTTTTTTTTTCTTTTTAAAGTTTGGAACCCTTTTAGGCTTAAAATACACTTTAAGATTTAGTTCTTTCCAAGTTGAATTTTAGCTGAATATAGCTTAAAAAACCAATATATTCAGAATCAATAAACCTAATCATCATCATCTAAGACTTCTACCTCTGTTGATACACCTGAGTATCGGCAGAGATGTATTAATATTTTTAATACTTTGATGGATATGTATTATATATTTTTTTTAGTTTTTTTATTTTCAAATTTTAGTTTTATATTAAAATGGTTTTGCAAATACACTTGACAGATGTATTAGGATTAAAAAAAAAACAATATGATACATCTGGTATCCAAGATTTTAAAAGGCTAAAGGCGTAGTTGAAGTGTAATGACCCAAAAAAATATACAAATTCATAAATTAGAAGTTTATAAGCAATAAGTTTAACATTTAAGCATTAAATAAAATAATAACTAATCAACTAGAAATTATAAACATTTTACATTTCATGTAAAAAACAAATTTATAAAAAAGGAAACAACTTAATTGATTTGATCTATTATTATTATTATTATTATTAAAAAAGCAAAAAGATCCATTAGTATAAGAAATATGGAAAATAACAAACTTGAGGCATTACAATTAGAATAATAAGAAACTAAGAACTTAATTTGTCCTTTTTGCATTCAACTCTTTTGAAACACTAAGAAAAACTAATATAATTTGATTTGTCTTATTGTTTTTTTCTTTTTTTCTTTATTATTTGACTTATAATTATTGAAGTGTTTTTTTACAATTGTAAAAATTTATATTTTTGCATTAAATAACTATATAATCATTGACATTTGAGGCATACACCTTTTTACGCCTCACGCCTTGAGGCTTGAGGCTTATGCCTCATTCTGACATTAAATTTGTGAGGCTTAAGCCTTGAGATAAATTTTGTGTGACTTGACTCGAGGCTTAAGCCTTTTAAAACAATGCTGGTATTAGATGTATTTTAAACCTTAATATTGTATCGATATTTTAAACCTTAATATTCATTAAATATAAAGTACATTATTTAAATATTATTTTGTCATTCTGTATAGCCATTGTTAAATTATGAATCCTGAAATCATTTTTTTAACATTTTAATGATTAATGCGTAAAATTAGTGTAACAGCCAACAAACTGACCCCAAAAGCTGGTATTTAGGATCTAATTGATGGATAGAATATCACATTATCACGTGTGCCCATATCACTAATTTATTAAACCTGAGTGGTTTCTACTCTGGGGATTCAATGCTTTGTTCTACCACACACGGGATCACTCTTTAAAATTACTTCGAAAAGCAAATATTTTTTCACGTTTCACTGCAATTGGGTCTTTGGGTTGGATTGGGGAGATATTTTGTTTGTTTAATTTATGAGGTTAGATATTAGATGAAAAGTACATCCACAGGGAAAGGGAAAATGAAAACTCGAGAATCGAGATGTGAGGGGGTAGGGGTGCTGGTTCGGTTCGGAAATAGAATTTAATCAATATTTCGGTTAGGTCATTTTTATGAAAACCAAGTCGAATTGAATCAAATTTAAATCAGTTCGATTAGTTTGGTTAGTTAAAATATAAATATATTTTGTATTTATATTTATAATTAATTATTCAAATATATCAATATTTACAATTAATATATAAATATATATTATTAATATAAATAATAATGTTAATGTTAATATTAATATTAATATTAATATTTATAATTAAAATATAAATACATATATTTATTTTGGTTAATTCAATTTTCAGTTCGGTTCAGTTAAACTTTTTTCTCAAACCAAAAACTGGCATTTCTAAATTTATAAAACCGAACCAAACCAAAAACCAAAACCAAGGTAAACAAACCGAATTGGCATTCTCGAAATTCTGTTCGGTTCAGTTAAACTTTTTTCTCAAACCAATTTTCAGTTCGGTTCAGTTAGGGCATTATGGTCCACAGGAGGCGGGGATATTCTAAACCCGTAGCAACTAGATGCAGTGGCATTCTCGAAATTCTGTGTAATGAAATGGGCATTTAACTGAAAATCTGATAGAAGTCTCCATCACAAAAACCCGCTTTGTCCCCTCAAACATGAATCGTCCCACGTTGGGCAAAGACTGAGAGAACCCGCCAGCTCCCAGCTGATGCTTTCACTGCACCGGAAAACCACCCCCAACGACAATCTAACTGACTCTCTCTCTCTCGTAATCCTTAGCTCTAACCTCCTCGCCGGGGTACATACCATTAGTCGACCTTTTAAGCTATCTATCTCTTCCTCTAACTTCGACAATTTCTATTTCTGGGTTTGAAATGCCTTGCCTTTTCACCTAATTGAGTCTGGCAGCAATGAATAATTGTTGATTGTCTCAAATTATTATTAGTATTATTATTACTGCTAATTATTATTATTTTACTTTTGATTTGGAGATGGAGGCTTGAGGTTTAGAGGAAGGAGGATGGTTTTGCTGTTTGTTATGTTGTTGCAGAGGAATCGGGTGATGTTTGCGAAAGAGAACGACAGTTTTTCTTTTTTAGTTCGAATAGATACGTAATGTGGGGGGAATTTGAAGTTTAATTTCAGTTTTTTCGAAGAAAACGGTGTTTTTATTCGATTTCGAGGTTGGATGCTTATATTCTTTTCCAGATCTTCAAATAAATGAAGTGAATGAATGCTTTCAAGTATGAGTGCACCAGAGTGGTGTATAAGGAAGAATTTGATAGTGTCCGAAATGTAGTTGGAATAGAAACGGTTTCAGTTTTCAAGTTAAACATGATTTATTAATTTATTCGCTTGAAAGATTGCGTTTAACTCTACCGTGTTTAGCTGAACTTTAGGAGACGAGCAGAGTTTAGGGCCTTTCGAACCCACATTTTGTTCCAAAAGGTTTATGAGTAAAGATTTAATGATACTGGTTCGGATCAATGAAGGAATCTCAGTGGTTTAAGCAGATAACGAACCATGGGAGACCCGGAAGGAGGCTCTCCCTCGGAGAATATAAACGAACTGTTTCTTGGTCCAAATACCTGGTTTCTTCTGGTGCAGCAATTAAAGGTGATGGAGAAGATGAATGGAGTGCCGATTTGTCTCAGCTGTTCATTGGGAATAAGTTCGCAATGGGACGGCACAGTCGGATCTATCGCGGGGTATACAAGCAGATGGACGTGGCCATAAAGCTCATTAGTCAACCCGAGGAAGACGAGAACTTAGCTACTCTGTTGGAGCAGCAGTTTACCTCAGAGGTCGCCTTGCTCCTTCGGCTCCGGCATCCTAATATCGTGACTGTAAGCTCTGGTGTTCCTTCATTCTTAAAAATTGCTTATTTTCCCCTTGTTCTTGCATTGTTGGGGTGTATCGAGAAGAAATATTTGTGGTACAAGTGTGTTAAGACATCCTAATTACTTTTCTCCTGTTTGGCCTTGCATGAAAATAGAATTTTCAAACACAACGAACTTACCATCGCCTTGAAAATCTATAATTTCTTTTGCCTTTTGTTAAGTTCTCCGTGCCAATTTTACCCTTTAATGGCTTGCTAAGGAAGGACGAGAATGCTATCGAGGGTAACACTTCACTTGAAACCTTATTTCTACATAGAGAGCCTAACTGCATGCCATCCTTTTTCCCCATCGCTTCTTCAGTAATGGTTTCACTTCTCATTTTTATCAATCAGCATATCATCTGCTTGTAATAATGATCACCATACTTGTTACTTCTTTTGACGAACTGAACATTTAAACCTTACTAGTCCCGCAATCAATGTCCTTAAATAAAATGGCGTTGTTAAGTCTAGACTCTAGTGTATGCACTTTCTCCGAAAGCGGTAAGACCTCTTAATCTCATATGCAAGCCCTACTTTCTCATGATTCTGGATCCAGGATCTTCATGAGTCCTTTTGGGTTCTTGAATTATGAAAAGACAAGAAAACACATCAATTTTTTTTTTTGGATGAGTATCAAATATATGCAAGCACTACTTTCTCATCAATCTGGATCCAGGATCTTCACGAGTCCTTTTGGGTTCTCGAATTATGAAAAGACAAAAACACATCATTTTTTATGAGTATCAAATATTTTGCTTATTCATCTAATTTTCATTGAAATAAGTCGGACAAAATTTTCCAACTACAAATTTCTATTTATGCATTCACCCTTCTCTAGAATTCTGTTGAAGAATGTGTTTATAGTAATACCAGCGTCTCTTTCTTACATTTTCTTTTGGCCTTTGGATTTGTTGGCCATCTTCAACACTGTCTTTCAGTATCAGCTCTCTCACAGAGTTTGCACTCCCAATCCACATCCAAGTCTCCATTACTCCAGAGTTCCAGCTATCCCGTCTTTTATTCGAGACAAAATTGCATCAGGTTGAGCATCCTCTGGGTGAGAGTGCAACAAGATCTGATATAGTTGTTTACTTCCAAATTCTAAAGTTTCTTTTCTCTGGAATCCAGAATCTGATTGCACCTTTAGTAGATCACTGTACATGTTTACCACTGCAGTCATTTCAGGAGAGTGTGAAAATGAAGAATAGTTTTTCTGCAAGTCATATAACCAGGAGACCAACAAACTTAATGGATGAAGGATCTGTATACAATTATCATTCTCTGGGCTGAGAAACAGATATCATACCCTTGCAGCTAGATATCATCCACAGAATTCAAAATCTACAACATTTGGCAATTTGCTTTAAAATTCATTCTCTGTAGATATTTTATTTTACCCAACTAGAATGACAATATGATATGCATTATATTTCAAACATATTCATGTGCAACCTAGAAGTCATTTCCCTAATCAAAGCTACAGTAAGGAAGGCTGAGAAGTCTTTCAACCCATGAGGTCAATGCTTTAAATTTCATCTTCAGGGGATCGCACTAGTCACTTGTTACAACCAAAACTTTGTAAAGTGTTTTTTCTTGGAATAAGTAATAGAAACTAGTACATGATGGGGAAATGGCAGTTGTTTCAGGCAAATTTGTAAAAAAATCATGCAGTTGAGCTATGAAAACATGAAAAGCATGGCAATGTTCAATATAAAAGAAATACAGGTATGGAGTTATGTATCTGTGTGAGATGTGACTGCCTTATTTTTGTAATTATGTCAACTAAGTAACTAGTTATTAACGTAATGAATGTATTTATCTTGTTTTAACAATGGAGCCCTACCATGACCACATTGCTTTATTTGACCAAAATGTATTAATTCTACTTTCTTCGTGCAGTTTGTTGCAGCATGTAAGAAACCCCCTGTTTTCTGTATCATCACTGAGTATTTGGCAGGGGGCTCACTGCGAAAATACCTCCACCAGCATGAACCATATTCTCTTCCCCTTGACCTGGTTTTAAGGTTGGCCCTTGATATTGCTCGTGGAATGCATTATCTTCATTCTAAGGGGATACTTCATAGGGATCTCAAATCAGAAAATCTACTGCTTGGTGAAGATATGTGTGTCAAAGTGGCAGATTTTGGTATCTCCTGTCTAGAATCTCAGTGCGGAAGTGGAAAGGGGTTTATGGGTACTTACCGCTGGATGGCACCTGAAATGATAAAGGAAAAGAAACACACGAAGAAAGTTGATGTATACAGTTTTGGCATAGTCCTTTGGGAGATTTTAACAGCATTAACTCCTTTCCAGGACATGACTCCAGAACAGGCTGCTTTTGCTGTTTCAGAAAAGGTACAGGCACCTTAAAATTTTTCACATGTTACTTTTTTTAATTTACGCAACGGTTGGATTGCTCCATTGTGACCTGGGTAACCAGGGTTCAAATCTTGGAAACAGGCAGACAGCCTCTCTGTATGTGCACAGGGGTAAGGCTGCAGACCCTGCATTGGTGGGAACCTCGTGCACTAGGCTGCCCTTTATTTAATTTTCCTTGAGATATGGGGGCATTTTCTTGCATAGTCATGATTAGTTAATGTTTATATTAGCATCTGACCAATTGCTGCACCTCGAGTAACTTGTCTCGTTGTTTTTTTATATTTCCACAGTAGAGTAGGATTTTAACATTACATGATGCCTTGGCAATGTGTAGTTAGGCCCTTTGTAATGATAGACAAAGAATTTGGAACTGGTAACTTGCTGGTGTAGATAGAATTAAATAAAAGGTGGTATTAGCAAAAAGAAATCAGTTTTGCCATTCTACCTCTTTACCAAGTTCTCCTATTTCTACCAGCTTCTGCACCTAGAAAAACTATATTTGTTATCAATCTTACCATTAAAACCAACTTATGGAATTACTCTTATGAGAAAGTGGATTCTCTTGAGAAACAGGGTTCCTGTATGATACGACAATTATTACATTGCTAGGATTTCCATATTACCAATGAACTATGATTAAAAAAAAGGAAAAAAAAAAGAAAAAGAAAAGAAGCCTCTAATGATCAGCCCCCTATTACGTGATAAAAACATCCATGCATAACATTGGTACCATTTGATGCATGCTTGTCTATTTGCTATTTATGAATAACATTTATATTCAGTTATATGTTTAAGTAGCACATAACCTTGGTATTGAAAAAGAAAATTTTACTAATCTTTAAGATAAGAAACCCCAATTATTAGGTTTCCTGGGTAAAGAAAACTTTCCCCCTCCCCCAAATAGGTGGAAAATATGTCAAAATTGACTACTGTAGGCTTTAATGACTAATAGATTGTCTTGCACTTGGATCTTGATGAGTTGGTTCCTGAAAATCCTTTTGCAGTAGTATGTCCACTTCCTGTGTGGATCTGCAGTTTTGTCCATGGCTGATATCAGAAATGAGTAGAACTGATTTAAAAGACCTATGTCCCATGTGTCAATAGTGTACATCAGATTGTTTTATCATAAGACATCAATCAATTAGATCAATTTAAAAAAATCATATATGATGAGTCATAATTTCATGATACACCCATCATTCCTTTCAATCTATTGCAAGTTGAGGAGGATAGAAGGACTAGAGGTAAAAGGATATGGATCGAAGCAGTAAGAAGTAATTTAAGCACTCAGCACTCATAATGTAACAATGGATTTGGCATTAAACGAAATAGAATGGCAAACAGGATTTATTTAGCCAACCCCATATTGTTTGGGATTAGGCTTGGATGATGATGATGATCCATCTATTCCTAATTTCTATGAATGACTGAAGATGTGAATGAATGTACCTATACATTATAGTGCTCTTCTGGTTTTTCCCATGTTGATATTGTTTGTTGTCCTTCCCTACTCTGCACTTTTTTTTGTTTCCCAATTTACATTTTTAAAATACTCAATATTTTCTTCATATTAGAAAAGTTTCCAAGTTATGTAATTCAAATCCTCTATCCTATGTTTTATTAACTGTGGCTCTGGTGATTTGCAATTGCATCACTTCATTGCTGATATTTTCAAAAAAAAATTCAATTCCATTTTCTGCCTCCCATCAACACTAAATCTCATGGTTATTGTCTAATGAGAAATGTGGAAAGGCATTGTGCTTAGCATATTTGTGAATAATGTTACAATGTAAATTGCTATATTTTCCTCAGAATAAAATGAAGCAGACATCTCTTTTATCCTTGCACATTGTAACAGCATTAAATTAGCAAGAAAATGTACGTTATGACAGGATTTGCACTTCTCTTTTCCTCTTTAGTATAGTTTAGTCTCTAGGGAAGAATTGCCAGAGAAATTTATCTTGAATACCTTGATATGTCAAAATAGATGTAATCCACAGTATTTTCCCATCGTAAATACTTAATTTTCACTAGTCTTTATGAGTACAAAAATGGGTCATTTGTGGCTATAAAGCTATAATTTACTTTGAAGTAGAGAGTTAATTCTTGTGGCTCTCAATTTCTTCCTTCCCCTTTGTGTTGGTTCTTGAATTGCCTGCTGCTGCCTCTGCTTTCTTGTGCATTTTTTATGATGCTTCCTCAAGTGTGTTGAACAGTTAATTCTTATTGAACTTATAATTTGGTTCATCAGTGGTGGTATTAATGTGTGTATGTGTGTATGAGAGAGAGAGAGAGAGAGAGGACATCTGAATGCAGAAAGCTACATGTAGTTTGATACAGGATGTCAGTGTGCTTTGAAATTTATTTGTTAGAAGCATAGTTAGTTGCTTGATAGATGTCGATCATGCCATTATTCAGACTTCATAGGTCCCATAAATTGTAATCTGGCATTCACTCTTATCTGTTCTACTGAAGGTGACCTAGTCTTTACATTCATTTCCACTCAGCAGATCGGCAAACCTATTTCATTTTGACCATTTATTAGAATTTCTAAGATGAAATGCCTAGTACACTCTGCTTCATACCCTATTCTGCCAGATCTGGTGCTGATATGCATCCAGGGACTTCTAATAACAAAAAAATCAGAAAAATATGAATCCATAAACTCAAACCTTGAAAACTTCAAAACGCCCCTCTATGGACAGGAAAATCTGCTTGATGTGAAACAAAGAGAAAAAAGATGAACCAAGTTATGTGTTGATTTGATGGTAAAGTGTACAGTTTATTTAATGAGAAGATTGTACAGAATGTATGATACAGGAGATAGTATGATAGTTTAATTCTTTTCTAACAGTTACTGAAAAAAAAATCTTTGCTAAGATTTGTCATAGAAAACAAAATTCACAAGTGCCTTATGTGCCATATTTGCTGGACTGGTGCAGAATGCAAGACCTCCTTTGCCCCCTGCTTGCCCAAAGGCATTCCGCCATCTCATAAGCCGATGCTGGTCAAGCAACCCAGATAAGCGGCCCCACTTTGATGAGATCATCTCAATCCTTGAGAATTACACAGAAGCTCTTGAAGAGGATCCAACATTTTTCTCATATTACAAGCCATCAAAACATCAAACATTTCTGCAATGCATCCCACGGTGTAAAACTCTCTGTAGGTTCACTTCCTTGAAAGCCTAGAATTTTTTTTTATCTTGAATTGTGTGACATGTAGTATGTACCATATATTTCTTCCTGTGGTTCATATTTTAAATTATGAGCCTTCTATGTAACTTTCTGGTTAAAAGTGATTAACAACAGGAACAAAAAGGGTTCCTTATCTTGGTAAGTGAATGTGTATATTTGCCACATTTTCCTTGTTATCTTTGTGCAGAATCCATAACTGAACTCTTAAATTGCTTGAAATGTTATTGAAAATATCTGATTATTCTAATTCTCATTCTCATTCTTCTTCTCTTTTTGTTTTAAATTGACCAAGCTTTGCATAGTCATGTTATGTTATATCGAGTGTGAACTTTTTCTGTGTCTTTGAAATTTTCTTGTTAACGGTATCCTGATAATTAGTCCTAAATCAAGCAGCATTAGATATTAAAGATGTGGATTACAAAAAAAAAGGATATTAAAGATGTGTAGATTCATATTTGGAAGATGTATTAATTGCCATCTTCTGTGCCTCCTTTTTTCTCATTCTTTTTTGCTGGGTAAACAAAACAATCTATTCAGAGATACAAGAAGCAAGTTTCAAATGGTAGTCTAAAATAGGAGTGATCATTTTCAGCCTGGCCCACAAAAACCAGTCCGGCCAGGAAATTCCACACTTGGGCCTAGGTTTTGTGCTCAGGCCCAGTATCTGTAACATTGCAATACAAGTGGATCGATTGTTGATATGAGCCCTATACAGAAGTGTGGGGAGAGTTGGGGGGGTAATCAATCACCAGTGTCACTTGAGCATATTAAGAATGTTAGAGGAGGCAGTTGTTGCCGTGATTTTATGGGTCGATTGTTCATATGAGCCCTATACAGAAGTTGCATGTACCTATAGGCTACAGTAGTCAACCTCCACAGAGTGAAGCCATGGTAGACAGAGCTACCATATTAACTCAACTTTTGTAATCATCATCTATTACAGTTAGTACCTCATGACAGGCAGGAAGTACTGGCTTTTTCTTATTTTTTATAGTGACCTCACCGACTGTCCAACTCTTGTCATTGTAAGGCCAGAAGGCTGTATCCGAGTTTCATCCTCACTATACTGACATAGTCTTAGGGTTATACCAATATTCACAACTAAGAATACTGACATGGTCACCTGAGCATTATGCAACCATGTCCATGTGAATGTGATGAGACTTTTGTCCGATTGGAGGATTTGTATATATCCTAGTCCTACTAGTCAACGGCCAGTGAGTTTTAAACCCATTAAAAACCTCACGGCCTTATCCACAATCCTGTTGCTTGGCCTCCCTTGCGCATTAGAAATATTTTAGAGGCTTAACTCATGAGTTTGGCTTTAATTAAGGCATAAACTCGAGCCTGGGGCCATAGATGGGACCCATAACTACTTTAACCGGAGGATCCAGCCCTGCAGTAGAATGGCTTCCACATAGAGCAGATGACAAGAATCTTGTTGAAAGTTGATCTTTATCCCAACTGTTTTCTTTCTTTTTTCTTTTTATCTTCTATCGTTGGATGACTTGTTGAGATCTCCAATGACATAAAAGGTTACAGGTAGCCTAGCTGGTAATGCTCAAAAATAAGGTCTCTTTTCTTTGGTTAGATTTGCATCTTTTTGTATTAGTGATCGATAAGGTAGAAGGGTTTTTTTCTTCTATATATTTGGCAACTGGCAGAATTGAGAACCACAGTGTTTGATTGATGTGGCTCCCCACCAATTAAATGTTGGGTAGCCACTTAATGACTTAATAATGTCTTTATCCTATTCCTGTATTAACTCGGCAATATTGTATCTTTTCGTGTTTTGACGTAGCAGGAAAAGAGGCAAAAACTGGTAAACCAACAAGTCCTTAACTTCTTGATTGCTTGGGCTGTATTCGCCCCATATCATTTGCCACCTGTACCAGCAGTTTAGCAGATACCCTTCTCGTGTTATTCCACTATTTCTTTTTTTTAATTTTTTTTAGTGAGGACGGAGAATCCAGGGTGGCTATGATTGAAGACTCCAAATTCCCCTCTCACCCACTGGACTTCCAACTTACATTCAGTAGGTGAGGGTGGGGTCATGTACTTAGGATAGCCATTAGATTAGGTGGCAGCGGCACACATGACACTATCTTTCAGTTTTTATTAACACAGAATAACTGGGTCCCAAGCCTCTCGTGGGACAATTCAAAGCTGGCTGGCTGGTGGTGGTGGCCTGGCCTGGGGTACCGTAATGAGATAAATATGACTTTTTAAATTTTAATAATTCACACCGTTGGACGAACAGGACCATCAAAGTGGAGATGCTCGGTAGTTACAGGCTCATCCATCGGCAGAGATGGATTCGGTCCATTCAATTGGAAGGCCATAAATAATTCGGTGGTTGATACTTGATAGACTTTTTTATTTTTTTGTATTTGGACGGATGTCAAAAAACAATCCATAGTTTTTACTTTTTTTTTTATCATGTAATAACTGTTTCTCAGTTAATAATGTTTAGGTCAACAAATATATGTTGGAACAATTTAATTTTAGAATTATGAACTTTACTTGCTTGGCTTAATTTTATTAGTCAAGGGTTAGGGGGGCATGATACAAGTAAATTTTCATTTAGAAATTTTTTAAAAAGCCATTAATGATAAATTGTCTAAAGAGGAACAGATGGATCCATTTGGAGAATACTTATTTTCTTCTTATATGCCATTAATGGGTTATCTAGTTATCTCTCTCCTCACTTCTCTTAATTTAAGTTTGTAAGCATATAGTTTCCAATATACCATCCCAGATACCCACGTACCCAAAATAGACTAATACCTGAACATCTGATTTAAGGAGCCACAGCAAGTAAAATACCAAAGAAAGAAAAGACAACACTAACAAGCAGTCATGAGATGTGGGATGTGGTTTTCAATAATCATAGCTTCATAGGTGGGGCAAAGGCCAAAGAGGCAAAGAGGGTACGGAAAAGGAYGGAGTAGATTTTTGAATTACACTGCAAATCTATAAAAAATCAAAATGTTAAATACCTTCGAGTTTATACCTATCCCAACTGTAATTCGGGCCTAAGAATTCTAACCCTAGGCTGACCGTCATTGAGTACCCTCATCACGGGAGCTATCAAGATTCAAGAGTTAAGACTGAACTGAATTCCCTTTCATACCCCTTCGGAGCCTATAACGTTATCAGTTATCACCATTTACCCCTCCAATTGGGAGAGGATTAGCTAGAGACAAAAACATATACACCCGGCTGTACTTATCATGGTTGAATACGCCAATGTTCAATACAGCTGGGTCCTAGATGGGGCCTACAATGATCACTGGTGTGTTCAATAGTGATAGGTAGTTCAGCTGGGTGTTCAATAGTATCGGCCCGTATTGGCYGATATATATTGTTTTAGGACCCTTCCGATATGCCCCTATAGTGGGTGTATTGGGGGTCTGACCAATTCAAGGGATGGAGGGGTCCTAGACCAGTTCCCTTGAACTAGTTTTGAAAAAAAATATAAAAAAAAGTAAAAAAACGAGTATTAAAACACCCGATACGCCCCTACTGACATATCGAGTGTATCGATATTTTGAACCTTAGTTGGGTGTGTAAAATTTTGTCTCCAATTCATCCAGACCGCCTCCAATCATGTTGTGCCTTGCAGTAGTCCGAATTCATTTCCATAACACTTCAGCATTACATGGAGACAAACCCCGCTTAATGCACCTCAATAGATCGGCTTATGAAGTCTAGTCGAACTCCGACCTCACTTAAGAGCACATTGGTAGATTGGGTTACCAACTTGGAGCACATAACCAATTTGACTGTCCCTGCTCTCCCGACCTACTTATCTGACTTGGGCAACTTGCAACCTAAGGGACTTCCTCGACCTCAGTATACCTCTGACCTACGTAGCACGATGTTTCTCTTCTCCGTTTGCGCTAGATAGTTGGCTTGAGACATACGTGAACACAATGCCTACTTGGCAAGGATAAGCCCACTCACCCCTACAGGAAGCGGATAAGGACACCCGTAGTGTCGTACGGTACAACCCATAAAGAACGAACAAATAGACTTTAATAGACCAAACATGTTGGACACGTCTCAGCCAAGTCTCGAGGTCTATATAAGGGCGAGCCTTCACCCTGAGAAGCTACACTCACAATTCCGCACGCACTATGTTGCTTTGATTCATGCTCTATTGCTCTCTATCACCTTGCCAGGTTGGTACTTACTTGATCATCGGAGTTCCTTGCTTGAGAAATTCTCCTTGGTCCCTCTGATGTCATTTGTCTTGCAAATTCATCACCCAACTACTCTTGTTGAGCTCCTAGTTGTCATTGCCAGCAGGGACTCAATGCATCTAGTCATCATCACCACTAGGGGTGCAAGTCGGGCAAGTTGGGCCAGGTTTATGGTTAACCCAAGCCCGACCCTAAAATTTGGGCTTAAGGCCCAAGCCCAGACCGGGCCCAAGGTCAAGCCCAATTTTTCCAATTCAAACCCAACCCACACTATAATTTGATGCACTCGGGTTGGGCTCGGGCCAAGGCTCGACTCGAGTTGGTTAATGAACCTACCCTAAAATAATAATATATAAATATATTTATATGTATGTATATGTATATATGTATATATGTATGCAAAATTTACATATATACACCTATGTAATTATAAATGTGTATAGTTGGGTCAGGCTCGAACTGAGTTCAAGCTACCTAAGGGCTAGGCCTGGGCCCATCTTGAAAAATAAAAAAAGCCTGAGTTATTGTGCTTGAGCCCAACCCGAGAACCGAAAGTCCAAGCCTAGGCCGTGTAAAATTTTAAGTTGTGCCAGTTCTGGCTCGGGCTGGATCTGCCCAAGTTGCACCCCTAATCACCATTCACCGAACCAAAATTTATAGAAATAAAATGATGGGTTTTACATTGATAATAAGTAAAAAAACACTTTAATACCCTTAAAGGTTGTGTTTGGTTGCATGCATGGTTTTCAAAACCGAATCGGACCAGAAAAATCGGGAACCGATCACCTGATCGGTTCCATTTTTTCCCAAAACCGTTGATTTTGGTCAGCAAACCGCTGAACCGGCCGGTTAACCATTCGAACTGTTTTGACCGTTTTTCAAAATTTTTTATTTTTTATTTTTTTGTCAAAATGGGCCGACTGTTCAGGTCGAACGGTCAGACCATTCGACCGGTAACCGGACCCCTGACCGATTCGGTCACCAAGTCGATTTTAAAAACCATGGTTTCATGTACAATGAAGAAAAATAAGGGCCCATTTGATTTGAGGGCATAAGGGTTTGGAATCAATCGGAATGGTCTAATTGTTTAGTTGTGCAGAATTGGAATCCCATTTGTATTTCTGATGGAATGGCATTTTTCCCATTTAAGAAAATGGCCATTCCCTCTCCCTCCCTTGGAAATAAAATCCCACTCTACTTGATTCCAATTTAAATTCCCATCCGATTCATCTCTAAACCAAACAAAGCATGAATAGACTATTCTGATTTCAATTCCAAAGGATTTAGATTCCGATTCCAATTTTAATTTCAACTGTGAGTCAAACGGACCCTAAGTTATTTCCCTAAAAAATTCCTATTGATTATAACTTTTTTTTTTCGGTCATCATATTGTCAATTTTTTTTCCAGTGAGTTTGTGGTTTGTTGCTTTACTTGGAAAACAAACCTGAGTATATAGTTGAAAAATGCACAGATGCCAGAAGATATAATTCTGTTTAGAAAATGACTCGCCAACCCCAAATTTTAGAAGGAATATCATTTTTTCTACAATTATTATTCACTTCTTGGAAAATATTTTACAGCCACGTTTTACATGCAATTAGATACTGCACAAAATAGCAGATTCTAAGAAAAAAGTCATTTTTAATACCACTTGCTTATCAGCTTCCACTATTCTATTTCATACTTTTTTTATATATGTTTATACTGTTTATATATCATCGGATACCATGTCAATCCACCCTACTTGATTCCTTCGGAGAAAGAGTGGGAAAATAAACCCATTAAGGCCATAACCAGAAGGACAATCTTTTTTCAACGCAAATTTACTAAATTCCGAAACCACCCCTATCCATTGCTATAAAATCTTTTTTTTTCTCCGCGTGTTAGAGATAGAGTGGGCCCCACTAAATTTTACATTACCCGCTTTTAAAGTAAACGTTTCTCTCTCTACCTAATCTCATGAAAGTCCGGCAATCAAGGCCTCCAATCAGCAGCACTTTCGGGCTTTGAGCGGCTGTCTTAACTAATGCAGGCGGGGGCATATTCGTACTTTTAAAGGGAAATTCGAGTGTATTGCCACGTGGCAAGTTCAACCAATACAAAAACAACGATAGCAAATCGGAGTTTCGGACTTCACGGTTGCAGCCTTGCAGGCGCGGTGGGGGAGCGGTCGCCTTCGCTAGTTCTCTTTGCTTCGACATTCCACCGCTGCGACCCTCCCCCGGAAATTAATTTACTTGTATTATTATTAGAATATAATATAGATCTCTGGCTTCCAGTTCTGCCCTCATCCGTCTGCTTAATTCCTCTCCCCTGTCTTCTTCTACCGCCCCTATCTCTTCATATAAGAGAGAGTGAACTTTCTCTTCTCTCTCGCGCTCCCTCTCAGAGTTCAGACAACACAAAACTTTGGCCTTATTTTTCATGGCGGATTGTTAAGGTACGGACCTGTATTCTTCATATATAGTGTGACGTTCWGTTCCTGAATTTTTTTGTTTTTTTAGTTTGACGTTTCTAATCTGCCGTTGCATCAATTAAGAATTGTTCAGTACCTTTTCTTTATGTAGATTTCTTTTCCGCCTCTCCTTTGTTTTCTTAAGGATTTGAGTGGTGTTTCGTAGTTTTGGATGCTTAGACTACTGATTCGTGGAAATCTGGAGATCCGCTGCAGAAGCTCCCTAATATTGTTGACCTGTGTTTTCTTCATGTTGTTTGTTTCAAAAGTAGAGAACTTTAGAAGGACTTTCTGTTTTATTTGGTCTTTGTTCATGTCTCAATGAAACGTCAAATTTTTCTCACTTCTTACACCCTAATATGGTCCTGTCATTTCGCAAATACAGTCGGTTTTGGTCAAGTTTCCAAGTTTCAATGGTCGCCGTTTGGTGTTGTTTGGATCTGTCTTCAGATTTCGTTGTTTACCGTTTACTCTATAACCGTTCTTAGATAGCGGTTTTACATCTATTGAAGAAGTCAGATTTTAAAGTTGTCGTTATTTGTTAACGGAAGATTGTTTGATTTGGTCTTTTGATTATGTTTTTTGGAAATAATCCAGATTAATTACTTGTTTTGCGAGCTTGTATCGAGTTGAAGTATGCCTGAATTTGTCATGGATGGAATCAATGGAGAGGGTACTGAGAGTGAAGTAAATGGCAAGTCATCACCTATTAAGGAAAATTTAACTGTGAATCGGTCCCCGAGGAGTACATTGAGTCCCCAAAGCCCCCAGAGTGCTCTTGATATGCCTTTGGATGGCATGGTCGACACCTCCATCGAGCAGCTTTATGAGAATGTCTATGAGATGCAGAGTTCTGACCAGTCACCATCCAGAATTAGCTATGGATCTGATGGTGAAGAATCAAGGATTGATTCTGAGTTACGCCACCTTGTTGGGGGAGAGATGAGGGAGGTGGAGATAGTGCAAGAGGAGGTGGTGGAGAAGCCAGAAGTGAACAGTAGAAGTGGTTCAATTTCTAAGCAAGAAAATGGTACAGATAAGAAGTCCAGGCATACTGATAATACTCAATCTACCAGTGCAAAGTCCACTTCTTCAATAAAATCAAAGAGACCTTCTCGATTGCAGGTAGACTCTGAGGTTTCAACAAAAACAAGTCCTAGGACACACGGTAAACCTCCTCTTGATAGACTAGGTGATAATAATTCAATAAAACCAAATACTGGAGTTTCCCCTGTAAAGAAACCAAGAAATTTTGGTCTAGGAAGGACAACACTACAGAACGGAACCGAGGATCCATCAGAGGCAGGTGTAGACAACCAAAACCATGGGCCTTTTCTACTTAAACAAGCGAGAGACTTGATTTCTTCTGGTAGTAATCCCCACAAAGCTCTTCAATTTTCTCTTCGAGCTGCAAAATCATTTGAAAGATGTGCGAATGGGAAACCCAGTTTAGATTTGGTCATGAGTTTGCATGTTATAGCAGCAATATACTGCAACTTAGGCCAGTATGCTCAGGCCATTCCTGTGCTTGAGCGCTCAATTGAGATTCCAATTGTGGAAGAAGACCAAGATCATGCTCTTGCTAAATTTGCTGGACACATGCAGTTGGGTGATACATATGCAATGTTAGGTCAGCTTGAGAATTCCGTAGTATACTACACAGTGGGTTTGGAGGTCCAGAAACAAGCATTAGGGGAAATGGACCCAAGAGTTGGTGAGACTTGTCGCTACTTGGCTGAAGCTCATGTTCAGGCATTGCAGTTTGATGAGGCTGAGAAGCTCTGTAAGATGGCTCTTGACATCCATAAAGAGAACGGTGCACCTGCTTCGCTGGAAGAAGCGGCAGACAGAAGGCTGATGGGTCTTATCTGTGAGACAAAGGGAGACCATGAAGCAGCTCTTGAGCATCTTGTTTTAGCTAGCATGACCATGGTGGCCAATGGCCAAGAAACAGAGGTGGCTTTTGTTGATTGCAGTATTGGAGATACTTACTTATCATTGGCTCGGTATGACGAGGCTGATTTTGCTTATCAAAAAGCACTGACAGTGTTCAAGTCCAGCAAAGGGGAGAACCATCCAAGTGTTGCTTATGTCTTTGTCCGTCTTGCTAATTTATATAACAAGACCGGGAAAATCAGAGAGTCCAAGTCTTATTGTGAAAATGCCCTAAGGATATATGAGAAGCCCATTCCAGGTATACCTCCGGAGGAGATTGCTAGTGGTCTTACTGATGTCTCGGCTATCTATGAATCTATGAATGAACTCGAGCAGGCACTGAAGTTGCTTCAGAAAGCTTTAACGATATATGACAATGCTCCTGGTCAGCAGAACACCATTGCAGGTATCGAGGCCCAGGTGGGAGTCATGTACTACATGATGGGGAACTACAATGACTCGTATATTTCTTTCAGTAATGCTATAACAAAGCTTCGGGCAAGTGGGGAGAAGAAATCTGCTTTCTTTGGGATTGCTCTGAATCAAATGGGACTTGCTTGTGTTCAACGTTATGCAATAAATGAGGCTGCGGATCTATTTGAAGAAGCAAGGAATATTCTGGAGCAAGAATATGGACCATATCATCCTGATACATTAGGAGTTTATAGCAACCTTGCTGGTACTTATGATGCAATGGGCAGGTATGTCCACTTCACTGTTATCTATCCTTTTTTAAGCATGTTGTATTCAATTTATTAGTTGTCATGTAGTAACTTCCATTTGCAATTGGCTCTTTACATTTTTAAAGGAAATGTCCTTGTTTTCTTTAACCAACTCATACTAACAACTACTACATATTTTTTGGGGTTGATCTTTTACTAGTATTACGTCTCACAAAGGGGATGGTAATGTTTAAATTCTTTTATTCCCATTGTTATTTTGATAAATGCAGATTAATTCTTTTGAGAGAACAGAGATATAGAGTAATAATTTTGGGATATTCAAGTTTTGGCTAATCATATGGAGGATTCTGCTTTCGCTATCTTGGATGCTATCAGATTAGCTAACATATGTGGAGGTGACTAGGATATTCAGAAGCACACAAACTAGGAACCCTCGAAACTATTTTTAAAAACTACATACATTTTCTGGGAGTTTGGAAACCACCTGAAAGGAAATAATCATTGTGGTTTTCACTTTTCATTGCCCTAGAGAGCACAAGTTCATCATCTAAAATGGATAATTTCCTTTATATTTTTTTAATTCAAAGTATGGATCTATTTTTTGTTGCTAAAAACAGATATAAATGAGGTCATTGTCATGATTTCAAGAGATGTTAAGGACTTGACAGCAGACAGTTATTCTTTAAAATGATGACGTATAGGTTCAAATGCCATGAGAGATTCAATCTGATAACTTGTTTATTGCAAACATCCAAAAATGCTCTTTGCAAATGATGAGCCTACAAGTATAATATCAGATTTATTTAATTACAGATTTTTAAATGCATGCCTTCATTGAAAATCCACAAAGACCAGGTTTGTTGTTATTGATGTTTTAAGTGTTATCTTTTTTTTCCAGGTTGGATGATGCCATTGAGATTTTAGAATATGTTGTTGGGATGAGAGAGGAGAAGCTAGGGACAGCAAATCCTGATGTGGATGATGAGAAGAGGAGGTTGGCTGAATTATTGAAGGAAGCAGGTAGGGTGCGGAACAGGAAAGTGAGATCACTAGAAACCCTTCTTGATACCAATACTCATTCTGTAAAAGAAGATGCCTTAAGAGTATAATTATTCTGGTGATGCATGAAAGCATTTGTGTAAAATAGCATAGTTAAAGGAAAAGATTAGCTGATGGGTGTATTAATTAGATTCTTGTTGGAAGGGTTGAAAGAAATAACAAAGGGAGGAACTTTTGATTGCAATGATTGATTATATTATTCTTTTCGTTGGTTAAGGGGGTCGGTGGTTGTATTTGTCTTTTATTATTTTAGGAATTGATGAAATTCCTATGGTGACTTTCTGATTTTTGTATTCTATTGTTTAAAGAATGAATGAAATCTCTCTCTCTCACATAAGCACTTTTGAAGTTTTTATACCAAACGCTTATTAGAATATGATCAAATAATTAAAGCATCACACAGTAACCCTGCTCTAGTTGAGTCAGGGTGTTTTCTTTTCTTTTCTGCTTTTTTTTTGGGGGGGTTGGTTGTGAAGAACACTTAAAAGAGATGAGATGCCGTTGATCTGGTCATGTTAAACTGGAAGTCCACACGGTTGTCTCATTAGATGTCCCCTGGTTCTTACTTCTCCAAGAGAAAATTCGAAACATCTCAAGTAGATTTAACCTAGATCATGCAAATGGTTGCCGGATATCATTGTTTGGAAAGCAAGGCTTTACAGATATAGCTATGGTATCAGCACTAATTAACAGACGCTACTGAATTACAAATCATAAACAAAACAATTTGATGTTCGGTTGATTATTAATACGAATTGATGAGAAATATATTTTCTACCTGAAAATTTTTTGGGTTGATCAATACAAATTGCTGTTATACCCTACCTGAAATGTCGATTTGATGTTTCAACTGTAAATATCAATGATGAGTCCCACATACATATTTAGCTGAAGTGATTCTCATGTGGCATTATGTGGCATAACAATACATTTCTATTGACTAACCTATAAATTATTAGAGGTGTTAGAAAGAATTGTACAGTTGGCAACAGCTGAGTTTGTTTTTCCTGAATAAGTCGGCAAGTGTCTACTATAAATATTTAACCAAATGAAAATAAACAATGTCTTTTCTGCTTCTCTGCAATTTTAGATGGTATCAAAGCCTTAAACTAGGTAAAGCGAAAAGACTTTTCTTGGAATTTTCCTACATGGCGGAATTAAGCAACAACAATGTGAGTTCGGTGAACGTTGAGATCGCCATTTTGATCCTGCATCACCCTACTACTTGCACTTGTCAATAACCCAGGTGCTTTGCTGGTTTCTTGTTTGCTTAATGGAGACAATTATGCAGCATGGAAAAGAGAGATGAGAAATGCTCTCTGTGGGAAAAACAAGTTTGGTTTCGTGGATGGCTCGATCCAGAAACGCAGATCTACCAATGAGGAACAAGCATGGATCAAGTGTAATTCAATGGTAGTATCATGGATTGTTAATTCTCTTGCAAGAAATTTATATGAAAGTGTAGCATATGTGGATTCTGCTTGTGATATATGGTCGGATCTTGAAGAAAGATTTTCATTGGGACATGTTCCACGAATCTTTCAGCTTAAAGGCAATCTGGGATGAATTAGCAGTCTACCCTATAAGAGATCTTGCTGGTGAAAGGGATCGTGAACGTGTTTACCGGTTCTTGCTGGGCTTGAGTGAAGTCTTCAATACAGTCCGTTTCAGCATCTTGGCGATGGAACCTTTGCCATCGGTTAGCAAAGTGTATTCTCTTGTAAGCCAAGAAGAGTGTCATCAAAATCTTGTTGCTCATCCTACCCAGAATCTTGATGCCACCATGATGCACGTTGCTGGACAAAATTTGTCCTCAACCTCCAAGAATTCCCGACCACAGCTGTGTTGTGACCATTGCAAACGCAATGACCACACCAAAGATCGATGTTATGAACTCCTGGGCTACCCACCTAATTGGGAAGCAAGGGGGCTATCTGCTCCAAAACAGGGCAATTCTGGTTAAAAGAATTGTCAAAAACCACGAGCTAACTCCAGTGCCTCCTAAAATGACAATGCATCAACCTACTCACCAGTTTTAGTTCTCAATATGGATCAATACCATCAATTGATGGAATTGCTCAATCTTGATAAGAAATCGGTCTTGCCTTTGGCCAACTTTGCTGGTAAGTTGTCGTCTCTGTCTGATCCTCACATTGATGCTTGGATTATAGATAGTGGTGCATCTGGCCATATGATGCCCACTAACTGTTCATCGATTGGCTTCTCCATAAATACCATTACAATAAAAAATGTCCAACTCCCTAATGGTGCTTTGTTGCCGATGCAACAACATGGCACAGTGATTTGGGGGCATGATCTCTCCTTACATGGTGTCTTACAATTATCAGATTTTAAGTGCAATTTACTCTCAATCAGTAAACTAAACGTAGACTTAAATTGTGCAATTCTATTTTCCCTACCTTCTATGTAATGCAGGGCCTACACTCGAAGAAATTGATTGGAGTGTGTGAGATGCGAAATGGATTGTACCACTTCATCAACCCCTCTTCTTCTATTGCCTTATATACTGGTGTTAACAAAGATCCAGAGCTCTAGCATCAAAGACTTGGACATGCCGGTTCTGATAAGCTGGCATTGATACATAGTTTGGATGTTCATTTGAATTCCTTTTTTTTTTTTGGTTGTGATTCATGTAATCAAGCTAAACTCACCATTTCCTCCTTAGCACTACCAAGACAGCTGCCCCTTTTTCATTAATTCATTGTGACATATGGGTGCATATCGAACACCAACATGTTCAGGTGCAAGGTATTTTTTAGCAATAGTGGGTGATTTTATACGGGCTACATGGGTATTTTTGATATAATTCAAATTAAAAACATCACAATTTCTTATCATGTTTTACAATATGGTGCGTACTCAATTGAGTGCATAGGTTAAGATCATCTGATCCGACAACGGAAGAGAGTTCTTCTCTCAGCCCATGCAACAATATTATCACCTACATAGGATTGAACACCAGACTTCCTGCATTGACACGCCACAGCAAAATGGCGTGGTTGAGTGCAAACATAGGCATATGCTCGAGATGACATGAGTAATTCGTTTTCAAGCTAGTTTACCTATCCGTTTTTGGGGTGATTGCATATTGACAACAGCTTAAATTATTAATAGATTACCCACATCAGTTCTCAATGTCAAAATTCCTTATGAGTTACTCTTTGGCAAGACTCCGAACTATGAACACCTTTGAGTCTTGAGATGTTTGTGCTATGCTCGTTGTCATTCTGGTGATAAATTTGCTTCCAGAGCAATTAAATGTGTTTTTATGGGATATCCACATGGGCAAAAAGGATATAAGGAGAGTACTTCATTTCCAGGGGTGTGGTCTTTTACGAATCTCATTTTCCTTTTTTCATGATTCAAAATCTGATGATAGCATCTCTGGGCCCATGATTCTTTTGTCTGCTTCTAATGATTTGGTTTCAGAATCAATACAAGTAAGCCCACCTACTGCACCTATTGAGCACATAGATGGTTCAACTTCTCTCATGGACACCAATCTAGAGCCTATTGCCTCTCGTAATAGCATCGAGGCACGTGTTTCTATGCCCATTGAACCCACTAATTTAATTGAACCTACTACTRCATGCCCATCAGAACCTATCACACATCCTTATAGATTTGTTAAGCCTCCATACGTTTGGTTGACTATATTTGCTCTACTTTGAAACCCACCAAGTCCAACACCAATCATCCCATATCACATTCCATTTCATCAGAACCTTTTCAATCATCCTATATTGCCTCTATTACTGCATAATAAGAACCCACATCTTATGTTGAGGCCATCTCTAATCCTTACTAGTGCCAAGCCATGAAATCTGAATTGAAAGTACTTGATCGAAACCAGACTTGAGAACTTACAGACTTGCCAACTGGAAAAACCCCAATAGGGTCCAAATGGGTATACAAATCGAAGTACAAACCTAATGGGACGATTGATAGGTATAAGGCRTGTTTAGTTGCCAAAAGTTACACACAAGCCGAGGGCATAGATTACAATGAAACTTTTGCCCCTATTGCTATACGGTGTTTACTTGCTCTAGCCTCAATGTGCAACTGGCATCTTCATCAAATGGACGTTCACAATGCCTTTCTTCATAGTACATTGCATGAAGAAGTGTATATGATCCCTCCTCACGGTTTACTTCAGCCCAATGACACTTAGGTTTGTCGCTTGAAAAAGTCCATTTATGGGCTCAAACAAGCATCCCGCAACTGGTTTGAGCACCTTGCCACATCACTTAAACACTATGGTCTTACTCAGTCCTTGGCTGATCATACCTTATTCATATCTTCTCGGCTAGGCAGTTTTTTGGAAGTATTAATTTATGTTGATGACATCATCATAGCAAGTGACAATCAAGTCCATATTGATAGCCTTAAAGCTCATCTTCAAGCCTATTTTCCCATTAAAGATCTTGGACTTCTCTRGTATTTTCTCGGGATTGAGATTTCCCATTTGGAATCTGGCATCTTCTTATGTCAAAGGAAGTAACACTCGACATCCATCGTGAAGCTGGTATGCTTGGATGTAGGCCTAGTAATTTTCCAATGGCCCAACAACACCAACAAACTCTTGCTTTGGTTGATGGGCCCATTATTGAAAACCCAAATTAGTATAGGCGGTTAATGGGTCGCCTATTTATTTGACTGTCACAAGACCCGATATAGCTTATTCGGTGCATATTCTCAGTCAATACATGGCTAAACCACGACAAGCCCACATGGATGCAACCCTTCATGCGCTACGATACTTGAAATCCTCCCCTGGATAGGGCTTACTTCTTCCTTCCAATAGTGATCTAGTGATCCGTGCTTTTTGTGATTCAGATTGGGCTGAATGTCCATTAACATGACGCTCCACCACTAGATTTCTTACCATGCTTGGTGATGCTCCCTTATCATGGAAAATGAAAAAGCAACCAACAATAGCTCGATCATTGGTGGAGACTGAGTACCATTCAATGGCCACAGCTACTAGTGAATTACTATGGCTTCAATAGTTATTTCATGATCTTGGACTACTACATGCACGGCCTATGAGGTATATATTGTGACAACAGTGTCGCACTTCATATAGCCAATAATCCAATTTTTCATAAACGTACAAAACATGTGAAAATTGACTGTCATTTTGTTTAAGAACATTTACGGGCAAGACAAATTGCTTCTCATCATCTCGCGTCCCGTCTCCAACCAGCGGATTTGCTCACTAAAGCATTAGGAGCTGATCATTTTGCTTTCCTATTACCCAAATTGGGCATGATCAATCCCCATGCTCCAACTTGAGGGGGCATATTAGAGGTG